TCGGCATGTTAACTCACCTTTGTGAGTGGTAAGATACCCATCATTTTGGTTTACTTTGCATCGACAAAAAAAACAACGCATAAATTGACGATGCGTACAAGAACCGATAGTGTACATAAGCAATACGAAAAAGTGAAGCCGTTAAACTAACCGTCACACATATGATTCATTCAGGTAGACACTATGTTGGAAAAGAAGAACAAGTGTAAGCTAGGGTGTGGGTTTGGGTGTGAGTGTGGGGTGTGGGGTGTGGGTGTGGTATGGGTGGGTATGAGTGTGAGGTGGGGTGGGGTGGGGTGGGGTGGGTTGTTGGTGTGGAGGAGGAGAATACTTAGTTTGAGACACACCCAAACCCACACCCACACCCACATCTAACGTATGATTGTATCAATGCGATCGATATTTTGAATCAGAATCATGTCTACGAAGATTATATTCGACAGAGGCACTAAATCATAGGTAGTACTTCGATAGCGCATTGTTTTTACGAGTGAACTTCTCCGGGTGTCCGATTAGGGCTTTAACAGTTAGTTTAAGTTGACATTAACTACTAACTAAAACAGTTTAGTTAGTACCATAGCTTCACTTTTTCTAAACTGTAAGGCAGACTAGAACAGTTCTTAAAGGTAAAATTATGACATTAACTCAACTATTTTCAGTTAATAGTTAGGATAACTCACTAACTGAAACAGTTTAGTTAGTATAATGACTCGGCTTTTTTCAACTAAACTGTGACAGCTCTAGGCCCAATCGTTTTTGGACCAATCCAATGTTCATTCAATGTGTCACAGTAAGAAATAACAAGTTCTAGAAGGATTTGATTGCCTGGGCCTTCGTTCCTAAGATATCGAATTTTTACTGAATTTTCAAACACATTTTCGTGACCTTTCTCAGATACTTGGCAAATCGATATTTGAACTTTGATCTCAACCTCTGCATAAACAAAGGTTCCGATTAGATTCAGGATAATGTGTGTGGCTAAATTGAATACACAGACCTACATTCGTACTCTGTTTTTATTCTAGCTCAATCTTCTCACACTTTTCAGACTCCTTCTATTAGTCGAAAAATAAAAACAAATAATCAAATCAAATTGATTTATGGAAAAAAATCAATGATCTACGTATAGGCAAAATTTTGGACTGAAACTCTCATTTCATTTTTCTTGAAGAAAAACAAATTGAAATGAATTCGTTCAGAGTTTTCCACGCTCAAGAAGATCTATACGACAAAAGGGTGCGAATGTGGCTGTGGCTGTGGATCAAGACAAGACGCACAGGAACACCCACATCTACACCCTAAACGACCAATGTTGGTCGTTTATTCTTTGTTTTTTTTCTTCATACCACCTATCCAAACAAACAAAATATTGAGAAGAAATAAACATAACATATTCTCAAATAAGTAATCTTGTAATTACAATAAAAACTCGAAAATGTCCGTTGCAACAGCGTGTAGGTGGGTGTGGGTGTGGGATGTGGGTGTGGGTGTGGGTGTGGGATGTGGGTGTGGGTGTGGATGTGGGTGTGGATGTGGCTATGCGTGTCGATCTTCAGTTGAACCAAACCCGCACCCATATCCACACCCATACCCACACCCGCTCACACCCATACCCCACCCACACACCCACACACCCACACCCACACTCACACACCCACATCCTTCCTATGTATCTTCTCAAGGGTAATCAGATAAATAGATTCTAACAAAAAGATACTGTAGATTTTATACGTCTTTTTCTAATGTATGATGACAGGTGAAGAAGGCATCTTTAAACAAATTGTAATTTGATTATTTATTCGGTGACAGTTATGTAAGATATAGGATAGGATCCAAAAATTTGAGGAATTGTGACCCTTGCCAATTTTCATAGGCAAGCCAGAATGAACTAATCTTTGGTTTTTCATAATAATTTTCTGTGCACTTTCGATGCGATATTTAAATTTAATATCGAAAAATTTTCCACAGCCTACATGGGTGGCATTCTGGCAGATCTTCTCTTAAATTTAATCTCACATTCACACCTCACCTCACCCTCTCACCCTATTTCTAGTAGATTTTTAGTATTATGTACTGATTCTTATTGGATCATTTATAGAGATACTGGTCATTTGATAATATTTTATTTTGAAAAAGTGAAATATACTAATAATATTATTGTAGTAGCTTCTCTCGCACTCATTCGCCCACCTGACTTTGTATATTTTCTCTTTGTATTTCTTATGGCAATATTTGCGCTGTGTTAGAAATACACGAATTTCATTGAGGAGGTAGAAAGAAATAACAAAAAACGAAGTCTCAGTGCAAAATAACCTTTGTTTTCAGTTTCGTGTATACTTCTTCTGTAGGTAAGCATTGATAAGAACCAATTCTTTTTTTTTTCTTGCCTGTTTATATCTTTTTCGCTTATTACTTAATCATAGTAACGGGTGGATGAAAAGTTTTTGCACAAAAGGTGTCAAAATCTATGGATTAGAACCAAAATTTTGTGCTCTTTCTGAATATGTACTTAGAAATTTTGTATCTTCTTTTGTTCAAGTGCAGTGAAGAAATCTTTGAAAGGCCTTAAAAATTAATCTAGACGACGCATCAACAAATTTTTGCTAACCCATATATGTCTCTTTGCAAAGATGCTAAAAGTTATCTAACATGGTAGCTTTGTAGAGCGTACACTTCTTTACAAAATGTCATATGGAATTAAGCTGTAGCTTTTACACAAGTGAAATTCTATGTATTTTGTTAGAAGCTTCTTTTTATGTAAAACGCTTTTTGGTCAAAAGTCGATTTCTCAAAAATGAGGGTGTCTACCAGCTGATACAGTAATAGAAGTTCCAAGTTTTAGTTTCGGATCGCAATAGTTAAAATATTAAAAAGTGAGAAAAAATTTCCCGTCGAAACTAATTTTTTAGGCGTTTCAAAGATTTCCTCACTACTTTCGAACAAAAACTGACACAGAATTTCTAAGTCTATATTCAGAAAGAGCACAAAGTTCTGCTTCTAATCTATAGATTTCGACTCGTCTGAAATATCTTCAAGTGAGCCAATTCAGATTTCAGATCCTAGACATTTGAAAAAATCTCGACTATATATCTACACTTGAATACAAGGAGTCACTTTATTTATGTACATATCTGTTTCAAATAACTCTAATCTGTCATTATATTGCTTATTTGCATTAGAAAGGAATAAGAAGCGTATATATTATCGCAAGTCATTACTACAAAAATATTTTCAATCTTAATCTGGTACTTAAGAACTGCATAATGCTTTGGTTGGTAATATTGATCATTTTGGGAATAGTTTCGTTTATAATTTACAAGAAATACAATAAACCAGTGGAATTTGCTTCAAATGTTCCTCAATACGATCATGCCGTAATTATGGGAGGCAGTATTGGAGGAATTGTGACTGCTGCTTATTTAACGAAATACTTCAAACGAATAACAATTATCGAATCTGATGATGTATTAACGAAACATACATCAACGACGTCCAAAAATTAATTCACTTTCGCTTAGATCAGATATGTTGACTTTTCAGTAAATTCAATCATTTTTCACATTCAACACTCAATATTCCCCTTTTTACTGCGTTTTTCTCGATAAGTTTTATGTCCAAAGCCAGAAATATATTCGACAAATAAATACCTCCAATTCTACCTTCAATGTCTTTTTTTTTGTTAATAAGAGTTTTGTTGGCCTGTATTGACTTTTTTGCGAGCAATTGAAATAAGAATCCTATGAACAATGTGAATCTTACTGTGATGAACATCTGTTGGTAGCAAAAAGTGTTTTAAAGTGAAAATTAAGTGTGCTCTTAATTATTTATTATTTGATCATACATCGGTCTTTCCAGAAATTCTCGAACTGATATCTGTTGGTACTTGTCAAACTCAAAAGCGACTGAATAATGATTAGTTTGTTATATCAAGCAGAATGGTAATGTTTTGCTTTTGATAAGAAGTTCACAAATACGGTAACAATCTTACTTTATTTGGTGACTATCAAAATTTATTCAAAAATATTGAAGTGATTGTGAAATGCATAAGTGTATAGTCTTTAAGGATATGATATTTCAATTAGAAATAATTCCTTAATAGATATATTTAAAATATAACGGTACTTTATGGGTGCATTTGATCCTTTCAATGACTGCTTGTAACCTGAATGAGTCATGATTTGTTCCTGAGTTTTTAGTCGAACTTTAATTTTTCATTATACGATCTAGTTCATTGGTCGACATGGCCGGTTCTCATCTCTCAATTTCAAAGAAGAAGTAAAAATTCAACTATAGATATCTGAAGTTTTTAAATTCTCATTCTTTAAGCAAAAATGAATATAAACTTTTACGACCGCATTTTCTCCTTTGATCTCGACGTCTTTTTAGTATGATCAGTAAGTGATACATTTATGAAATCTACACCCAATCAACTATTAGATTATCGTTGTCGTCTTGGAGGTCCAACATCATTAGGACGTTCAGGTGTTAGTCAAATGTATCATTTACATGTGCTCGAAAGTGAAGGACATAAAATATTACAAGAATTATTTCCCCAACTAAAAGATAAATTATTAAATGAATATGATGTTCGTGAGTATTCATTTAAAACCGACTGCAGATTCATGGTCAATGGTTTCTTATTAAATCAAGATTTAACCGAAGATTTTCCCTTGTTGGGTATCGATCGGTTTACATTAGAAACAGCAATGAGAAAAGAATTGTGTTTACAATATGGAAATCAAATTGAATGGAAATGTAATTCAAGAGCAGTGCAACTAATTGTCGATCAATCATTAAATATTATTAAAGGTATAAAATATCGGCAAAAACATCATGTTGACTCATCATCGATTGATTTGTATGGTGATTTTATTATTGATTGTACTGGTCGAAATACATCATCAGTCAAATGGTTAAAAGAAAGTTTTAATTTAATTGTACCGACTATGCAAATACATTTTGGTTTAGGTTATGTCACATTTATTGGTGAAAGATTTAAAACTGGAGATCCATCGCTGGATTCAAAACAAATAGTTGCTTGCTCATTTAACTCTCCCGATAACAATACAGGATTTGCTACAACTCCAATACGTGAAATAAAAACAATGGATGAAAATTCGTTAGGAACGTTATCAACACTTCTGGTTCAATGCGTTAATTACGAATATCCACCAAATGATTCCTACGAAAATTTATTAGAATGGATAAAAGAGAAATTGGGTCCAGAATGTTATTCGGTATTTAAATCAAAAAAAGTATGTAGTCCATTAGTTTCATATCGTCGTGCGATTGATGATCGAAAGTATGTTGAACAATTAGGTAAGAAGTGGCCTCAAAATTATGTATTATTGGGTGATGCAATGTGTACATTTAATCCTGGATATGCACAGGGTATGACACATGCATGTAGACAGGCAAGAGAATTAGGAAAAATATTTCAAGAGAATTGTCATAAGTTAAAAGATATTTCTCATATTTTTAATCGTCGTGCTTCAGCAATTAGTGAAGAATGTTGGCTTCTTTCCACCACAAATGATTGAAAGACGCCAACATTAAAAATTGTAGAAACTGATAAAAATGGTGAAATTAAAATTTATCAACGAGGTGATGATTCTGCTCCTACTAAGAGTATTCAACCACGAGAATCTTTAATGCTGCAGTTTATGCAGTGGTATACTCATTGGTTCTCACTATGTGCATCCAAATCTCCACAATTATCTACTGATTTTTATCGCGTTATGACTCAGCACAGCAGCCCATCTATACTAATGAAACCAACAACACTCTTAACAGTGTTTTATACTGCATTCATCAATTATTTTAATTTATCGAAAAAATAATCCGCTTAACTGAAATTCTTGTTTTCTTCATTTAACTAATCTTTGGCAGACTGTAGTTTCAAACTTTTAATTCCCACTAATCTTAAATTAATGTGTCCAAGCATATAAAAAACAATAAAAACCTTTGCTCAAATTTTCAATTTCCGATACTTTAGTATACTGTTATTGTACTAATTAAAAATAACCATACATAAGTTTCCTAATAAAAGCTTCTAAAAAAATTGTAATGTCTGTAGTCATAATCATGACTTGAATTACAGAGATTCAGGTCGTCAAACATAAAGTTTGTATACAATCGTAAACAACTTACAATGTGAATAATTCGCACATATGGTTTGTCATTGTTAGGTTGTGGGTATGGATGTAGATGTGAATGAAAAGAAGACTAAAGGATAAACTCATACCTACCCCACCCACACTAATAGCATACACATCCACACTCACACCCTATCTATTTTATTATTATCATCTTCATTTGATGTAAGTACAACTGATGGATGACGTTCGTCTTTACGACGTGGCATTTTTTCCGATAAATATTATTAGTATTCAAAAATTGAAAGAATGTTTTTTTTGTTATTTAAAATACTGATATCTATAATAAAATTAGAAATAGCTGAACACTTATATTTTAAAAGCAAGCAAAAAAAACTAGACAATGAAAAACATCCTTCAATATCGTTTTCATTTTTAATGTTGACTAAGAATTGATACTGTTATTGATTTATTCTTGGAAGTCATAAAATGGTTGAATAGAATAAGAAAAACCTGATTGTAATTCTTTAGTGTATTGAAAATAATCGTCCGAAATCATTATTGGTTCAGAATTAGTTGATGTTGTCTGTGTTGAAACATGTTTTTATTTTGAGTGTTTTTTGGCGTTTCATTTTATTTTGATGTTTTTCTTCTTTTTTTTAGTACGTTGACATTTTGAACCTAATAATCACTTTCATATTCAACATCTATCATTTCTGGTATAGTTGATGATGCAGGTGTTCTTAGTTGATTCATTTTATTATGCCATCTGAAAGACAAGGCAAAAAAAAAGGTAATACCAGACATACTTTATAAATCAATCAAATAAATATCATTGAATTTTATTTAGAAAATAAATAAAAAAAGCGAATAGCAAAATAGGGTGTGGGTGTGGAATAAATTAAAAACATGATCCACACCCATCCACACCCACAACAATCTACACTCACACCTACACACACACCCATACTCAGATATCAGAAATTCAAAATAATTTTGAAAGGGACCAGATAGTCCATAGAAAGCAAAACGTTCACACAACTCGCGTATGACAATCAAATCAGACCGCCAACGGTATATGATCAGAAATCTGCTCCAATATTATCAATTCTTCGACTGTCGGTTCGATTTCATTGATATTCTCGATTTACTTGTTGATTTCTGTGCCACCAATGCGCTGACTATTCAACTCAATATCTTCAGCCTTATTCATTTGGTAACATCTATCTTGGCTGATATCATAGTAAAGATAAGATGCTTCTAGTCTCTTTCTGGCCTAGCACGCTACACATCACTGGTCCTTAGCTTTACTCTTCTAGAATTATTTATCAATAATAGAATAAAAACAATGGCTTGCAACAGTCAACAGCTCCCCAAAAAAAACAGCGTTGTTCGAATATCAAGCATTCGCCAAAAATGGGTCGAATAAAATGTCTACGATTGTGCAATCCAATGTTTAAAAAACACTAACAAGCCATCAAAAATAATCTTTTTTTATGTTTCTTCTCAGTTCTATATTTTGCGTCACGAGCATCATACGCTTTAAAAATGATACCAAGAAAATTGCTATCATTGAGTAAAATACTCGAAGACAGTGTCAAATGTTGTTCAATTATTCTATTCGTGCATATGTCAAATTCTATGATATATGAAAAAAATTTGAAACTAGTACTGATTCTTGATTGATTTTATCATTCGTACATCTTGCATTTTAGATGATTTCGACATATTTTTCATGACTTTGATAAATATTCTGATTTTGAAAGTCAATCATGAGTTGTAGGAAAGGATATTATCAATTAAATATTAAATATTTATAACATTTTTTTTTCTTCTTCTTTTATTATAGATGCAAAAATATAAGACAGATGGTTGTTACCTGAGTACCTTTCGGTAGACGCAAATCAGAGACCTGCGATTTCCAACATTTAACAGACGACAGAGATCGGCATCCCTGTATTTCGTTTGTTTATTACTTATAATTCCATTGTTCGATGGAGAAAACTGTTCTCTTTCGAGCTGTATAAATTTGAAGTCCTAGCTTGCTGCATTCAAAAGATATAGAGATTTTCGAGAGATCTTGAGTTTCGATAAGATGACATTTGATCATTCGAAAATATCTCTAGAGAATCGTAAATGAACATGTTCAGCTGAGTGATGATGCCTGATTACATTTTAAAAGCGACTTGAGACTAGTATAACTGGTTTTTTTTAAATATCAATTTTTTTTCATTATGGAATCTAAACACTCGACATGTTGAAAATCGTCCAATAAGGATCAAATAAAAACAAATGTCATTACTCGATTAAGCATGACCATTGATTTCTCTCTAGAGATATTTCTTGAATAATCAGAGATTAACTTACCAAAACCCAAGATCTCCAAAAACCATGTTATATCTTTCGAACAGGACAAGCTAGGGTTTTAGCTTTACGTTATAAATCATAAACAGATAGAAGATGCTTTCAAAATGTCCATCTAGAATCCATCGAAATTATTCGACCAATCAAATCGGATATATTTGGATGTCGATCTCTATCTTCTATCGATTGATGAAAACTGTAAGTATCTAGTTTGTTTCAATCAAAAGTTATTCAAAACACAACTAACTTTTTTATGTTTTGGCGTTTATAATAGTTCTATTTAATTTTTTATCTAGTTGTTCTGTTGATAGTGAAACAAACAAAAGAAAATTTCAAAAGAAAAAAAAAATTTTGTTCAGTATCACTAATAAAGAGATTGCCTATAAAAAATGTACGTGTTCATATTTTATTTTATGTGCTTTATATAAAAAAAATAATCGAATAAAGTTAATATCATTGACGAAAATGCCACTAAATAAAAATTACATAATTGGAAAAAGAAAATTTTATTGAATATTTAATTTGCAAGTCAATTAAGTCAGCCGTTTTCTCCTTGACTCTATCTATGTTTCTCATAATTTAAAAGATTTAACAAAGTTTTTCGTTTATTAAGCGACAAACCGGTAAAGGTTGTAGATTATGAAGAGTATGATATTAACTCGTCAACTGTGTGGTATATATATGCTGTTCTATTTAAAGAACAATATCGCACATTGAAGAGCACGAAACTCATCAATTTATGATTATTTATAAGGTCTAACTTTTTTCAAACGATTTTTCACCCAAATTAGTATTTAGAAGCAGCTATAAATACACATTTTATAAATAATTCAGTGATAAAAACTATTTATAAAGATTGAAAATTATTTCGAACTCACCAATGATTATCGCATATTCTTTGATTGAATGAGGCTGTGTGTGTGATGTTAAGTAAAGAGTCGCTAACCGCAATTAATGTACTACATTTATTGATCAATATGTGAAAAGGACTAGAATATACTTCAACTGTTGTTATATTCGATAATGATATAGTGAGGGTGTGGGTGAGAAGAAGAAGATGCTCTTTACTCACGCACGCACCCAGATCCACACTCACCCCGACACTCATACCCACACTCAAAAAGTTTGAGAGCAAGCCAGCAAAACCTCGAGGAAAGAATTCTGTAAGGGAAAAAAAATTGTAAACTACTACGTAGTTTGATCGTTTTTTCTTGACATTGATGAAAGATGCATATCCATATGCGGAACTGAATGGACTATAGCTTGGCAATTCGTTTGTGAACTAATCGGTTGAAATTGGATTGAGTCGACGCCACTTGGTGACATCAATTTGAAGAAATTTCGAGCTATGAAATTCAATGCCAATGAACTCAAACAAACACATATCTGCGGCGGCTATGTCTAACACTTTCAGTCTCTTGCACGCTCGAATAGTTATGAAATCAATTCTATTTGGCTTCGTTCTTTCATCAAACTTGCTGTTAGTATATTTTTTGTGCACATCAAAATTTCAACAAAACATACAGCACATACTGCTAAAAAGTTTTTATTTTGAAAGTCAAGAAACAATTTTTTCTCTTATTCTTGGTATGTTATCATAACACGATAGCGCTGGAATGCCAAGGACGCGGAAGCATTTTGGCCTGGTGAATTGATGTACATGTCACCTCCATTACAGAGCCAACTATATTGGGCTGATGGTGATAAAACAGGGAAATAAGCATTTGGTACCCACGAACCATATTGGGTTCGGACTAGCACATTGATAGACCAGATCTTTGATTCGTCTAAGCCATGTGAAAATCTTGCTAAAGTTGATGCACTCGCTCCTAAATAACCTGTGTATAGTTTTGTTTGTAATTGATTTGTTTTTGATGACAATGTTTCCAAGCTTTTTGAGCTAATGCTTAGAGCAATACTCACATTGAAACCTACAATGGATATAAAATATGAAAACATTATGCTATTAACTAATCATGATTAGATTGAAAACATGGATTCAATCTGGCAGTAGTACCTCGATTTTCATCTACCTTGCATAAGAAACAAAAAAAAACAATCATTAAAATGAATCGTTTTACTTACAAACTAATCCAATGAAAGCAATGTAAACCGAAGCAAACATCATCATATACGACCAAATTTTTTCGCTATTTCTTTACTTGTAAAAGGAAAATACCTTTGGTTTATATACAGAGACATCAGTTTATAAATATCCATCATATTCTGTCGGAGCTTATCAATAGCTTCCTTCGTTAAGTCAGTATTAGGAATGTCGTAGTAGTTTTGATATTATTTTAATACTAATGCTTGTGCATTAGCATTACTGATTAAGCCTAATGCGAAAGCATTATTGGCATTAGGATAAACTAATGCTTAAACATTATTGGCATTAGGATAAACTAACGCTTAGACATTATTGGCATTAGGATTAAGTAATGCTTAGGTGTTAACATTAATTTAGCATTATTTTTAATTCTAACGCATACACTTTGTGTCACTTCTAGACTGCTACCTCGGGATACTACCTCTAACTTTCCAAGGACTACCTGGGAGTACTATGTGTAACTTGTCATGGATTTTCAGAGGGTACACTTTGTAACTTTTCAAAGATTACCAAAAACTGCTCTTTGTAACTTCTGAAGCGCTATCTGGAAGTACTCTTTGTAATTTTTCAGCTCCTATATTCACATTATAGGAGTATGTTTTTTGAGAACTACTCAAATATAATGAGAGTATTTTATAATAAACGGATGTTTCTGGAATAACGTGTTCGCTAAGCTAGACCATAAAAAATTTCGAGCATGTTATTTGGAACATTTTATTAGTGTGGGTGAGGATGGGGTGTAAGTGTCGTTGAAGAAAAGATTCATACCCATATCCACACTCCCACCTTGAACATAATGAAGGTATTCTTTATTCTTTGCCATCGATATCCATCGAAAAGATTTTGCCAAATCTGAGTTTGTAGTTTCAAATACTTCAAATGAGGAAGTTGTGATAAGAATTGTTTCATTTATTTGATTAATATATGAAAAACTATAAATCACAAATCTAAAGCTTTTCTGCTCATGAATCAGACTTATAAAAAATATAAAAAATGTCAACCAAGAAATGAATAAGATTTTCTATGGATTCGACTTGTTATAAAGTGTATTTGAACAATTTAATATAGATTATCTTGAATATAATATAATAGAGTTAACATATAAAATAAAGTAAAAGTAGTTTTGATATTTTTTTGAATAAATCATCATTACTTTTATAATCAATTTCAATCCATTACAATATATATACGAAATCTCCATTTTTCCTACTAACATTTATGATCAAAAGCAAGAATAGTTCTCCGAATACTTTTCGTCAATTGTTTAAGATATTTTCAAATTTCACTGAAACAAAGATATTTTTGTTTTAATATATACGATTAAATTTTAGATTAAGTCGAATTAACTGATTGTTTGACATGTTAAGTTCAAATTTTAACATATTCAAATTCAGACAAACACGAAGTGATTTGAGTTGAAATGCTTGTTGAAAAATTGTTTCAAATTCATTAACTGAACATTTTTTCAAGTTTTAGATCGTGAATAGTTTAGACATCAAGACACAATTATTGCTCAAATGTTAATGATTTAGCTGTGGGTATGACTTGAATGTAAATGTTAATTAATAGTGCATGAATTGCATTAATATCATTGAGACATTTATATTGAATAGTTTCGATATCGAATAAAAAAGAACATATATTGTTTAAGTTTGTATAAATCAGAAAAATTAGTTTTCAATAACTGAAATTCAAGCTTGATCAATGTAAGTAAACGTAATCGTGTGAATTGTTCAATTCGAAAATGAGAAAAAAAAAAAGTTGAGACTGACCAAGTGTATTATTATCGTCACAGATTATTAGATAAATAACTTGTTCAAGTTGAATATTTTGACATATGAGATTAAAATTGGACTTTCAAATTGATTTAAAGTTTAATCGGTAAGTAGAATAGTCGAGCATCACAGAATTAACAAAATTACTGATGTTAGAAAAGGTGAGAAGAATTTCATGTGCCGAAAAAAAACGTATAAAGGAGAAACAAACTAAACACTTTTACGTTTTCCTATGAGCCATTCGTCGATGCACATTACTTTACACTGAAGAAGTACATCTTCTATTTTGACAAGAGTTTTTCATATGTATATGCTAAGTTGCAAATTTGTAAAATGAATTTTTTATTTATAAATTAAAACTAAAATAAAATAAAATGTTTTCTTGTAGTTTTATTAAACTGTGATAACTAAATAGCAATTGACATACAATTTACAGATGCCCATATGTCTCATAGTCCTCTGACAGATTTATCCAATGTTTCTTTTCAATAAACTTTAGATATACAGTACAAAATGTTAAAATAAGGTCGATAGCTGTTCATACAGGCTGCAACAGAGCTCGCATTTTCTTGCATTTTGTAGAAAATATACGAGAAAAACACAAAACGACAAATTGATACGAAGTTTAGCATGTGTTCTCTATTGACTGGAATAATCACAGAACAATGAGAATTGCCGTTTTACCTATATTTCAGGTGCCTATCATTTAATAAATATCTAACAAATTCGAGATATATACTGTTTCGGAGTCAGCCGAATATTCTTCCAAAAAGAATATATTGTACAGTAGCAGGAGTTCACATACATTGTTTGATTTCATTGTCTTATGCATAATGTAGATATATGAAAATTAGAGGGTGGGTATCATTCTCCTGCCCATATATTCTCTAAAACAGTGATTGAACACGATCACACTTGTTATTTTCTTTCCATTGTTTTGTCTATACTCAAACTCGTCAGTGAATGAAAATAGTGAAAAGAAAAGTGAAATAGCGACCGAATCTAATGACATTTTAGTTCATTTGATCATAGTTTCACTATTATTTCAATTATAGTCAAAGTGACTGGCGTAATGATCTTTACTATTTGAATCATTTTGAAAATCTCAGTATTCTCTATCTGTACTAAAAAAAAGGTGACAATCAGACATTCTTTTATTCTCGAGATATACTCCAAATAATGATGAAAATAAGTCTTAATTTATGTCATTTTACCATAGTTTCGACTATAGCTAAAGTGGTCAGTATATAGTAACTCGTACTATTTGGTGCCATATTATAGATCTATTCTCCTTTAACTACAATAAAAAACTTGCGAGCAGATATTTTGCTCTTCTTGAGATATAGTCAAAATATCGTATAAAAACATAACTTGTATTGACATATGTGACCGATAGGCAGTCCATGAATTGAAAGACAATCAAGGTTTTAAGCTAATATTCTTTACCAAATGTTAATTAAATCATTATATCTGGATTATAGCATACATGTACTGGAGTTTGACGTTATTTTACTAGATACCAAGTCGTATACAACATGATCGGGTTATTTTTGATAGGTTTTTTGTATTTATACAATCATAGAAGTTTTTCGTTTTAATACAGTTGGCTAGAGCATCGATTACTCTATCGAACTATGTAGTTTTTATTTTGTTTTCTTTAAAGTTTATCGAAAAATTTAATACATTTAGAAAAGTAGTCATCAACGATTTTTGCATTCAGCAGATGATTTTTTTTTCCGATGACTGCTTTTCTTTGAGATACCGAAACTTTCTATTTTTAATACTAAAAACAAAAAAAAAAGAATCGAAAAAACAAGATAATTATATTTAGATATTCAACAAGACCCTTTCAATGTTTCGTTCATATCTATTTAAGGATCATTTGGAGAAGGCTAAAATTTTGAATTTAGAGATTTATTTACATGTTCGTTCACTTACGATTATAAAAGAGATAAGTTAACATCTTTCATGTGACAGAATTTCTCGATTGAGCTATGGACCGCCTGTTAATAAAGAGATCTCAATGCTCTAAAGACAAAAAATTCTTGATGCTCGCAAGATAATCTATTGGTCAGAAGAAAAAAGCTGTCGTGCATGTTTTTCAGATTTGATAGATTTATTCAGTTCCATTTTTAATATAGCCAAAGGCATTTATTAACGTTTCTGTTATGAGTAAAAACTCTTATGCATTTCTATATCATCGACAAAAAACTAGCTTCATTGAATAAACCGATCGATAGATCGTACATTTTAGGATTTTTTCCTCTACAGATTTTATCTCTTACTTTTTTCCGAATTTTGAGACAATGCTTTAAGCCTCTGGTTTTTGCGATAACAAATGGCGATTGAAATTACGCTATGCATGATAGTTGTAATCGAATACAATTGAATTTTTACGATCTGAATGTTATGAGTAATAGTAAGCCAATTATTAACTGTATTGATTCATTCGTTTTTACCTGATGTGTAATCAATACAGTGCACTATCGAATTTTATCTTTACTCATACTTTACACTCAATCAACTACAAACAAATATTTCATATAACAGCAAGAATCATTCGAGCGTAACTGCATGGTAATAATCACGCGTTGTTTTCATAAGTATAAATTATTTTACACATATTACGTAGACGATTTCGACGATTGTAGCTACTAAACATACAATTCAATCTTTATCAATATCATCAAGATGTCGATAGCATTATTATTCCTGGTATTAGTCGTGATAATGATCATATTTTGGTCTATTTGTGTCAATGATACTAATATCATATTGTATACTTAGATATCTTATAGTTTCAATAGTGATGAATGATGGGCAAGTATGAAACATTTGAATAGTATTCATGTTGTATTTAGCAATTGTACGCGAAATGAAGAGTTCGTTTTTATCCTTTGCTGTTTCACTGTTGACACGATACGGATAATTGATGTGGTTGGATGGCGTACTCTGTAAATAATAGTGAGAAACGAACAATCTTTGATGTCTATGAGTAGGTCGATCAAAAAAGTTTATTTGAAAAATCGATCTACATCACTAGAAGAAGCATATACAACAATTAATAATTATAGAAAAAAAACTTTAATACTCTACAATTTACAAGATGATGATTTTTTAATCACAAAGTTATAGTTTATTCGCTCACACACTGACGTAGATTTCAAGTAGAATTTTACTCTGGAGTTCTTGAACTGCGGGCTATAACACAGAACTTCATGTAAACTTTTATCAATACGAGCA